TCATCCTATTTCCTACTCAAATAGAGATGAGTACAGTCCAACACTGACCCTCCCCTTGAAGTTCCACATTTTTATCAGCAGGATTTATAGCTTGTGTTTCCTGGCACACATTCCCGTAGGTGTACATGCCTGTGGGAGCTCAAAGGACACAGACTGAGCGCCATAAAAGGAAAGACCACACCTTTATTTTATTTTGACGTGAGGAACCATAGCTACATTCAAGGTGTTTCAAGAGAGAGGTGTGCATGTTCTTATAAGGCTGAACCTGCCTTTACCGTCCAGTACCTTTCTCTTCTGTATTGGTTTGTGTATTTGGAAGTTGGGGAGGAAATATTCCACAGTGAAATCCACTGACCTGCTAGGACTGGAAGGACACGTGTGCTGCCCTGAGGCAGTTTGTGTCCTCTCAGTTATTTGTTTTAAAATGAAAAGAAACTGCAACTGTTTTTTTTACCAAAGCCTTGTACTACAAACAGTTCACACCTTTTCATTGAGAAAGACTGAAACTTACTGAGCAGTGACTGAAACAGAACAGAGTAATGGTGTCGCAACATGCAGGTCACACCAGTGACTCATCCATCCCTCCCTGTTCTCTCTCTCTCACACACACTCACCTTCATCAGATTTACCGCAGGCAAACATCATTTTAACTTTCAAGATTTATGGACTAACTTTAGTTTTACTTTGAATATACAATCCTTTATTGCTCAAGAAAATAATAATACTGTACTGTAAACCACTTTGCTCTCATCACAAATGACTTAATAATACAATGCTTGTCTGGACAAACCATTTCCTGTATGGGCATATAGTGATATTCTGATGACACTCGAGCATAAAAAAAAGAGTTACTCACTTCATGTGGGCAGTTCTCACATGGCTGGAAGTGGCAGAGACCTCTGGATAGCTGCTCTGTACTTGACTTACAGCAGGCCTCCTCACCAGCCTCGATTTCTTGGTTTATTTTAGTTAAAGGAAACGCACAGAGGGCTGAGTTCTTCTGAGGCTGGCCATGCTTGTTTACCTCCGCGAACACCCCATACAAAACATTTTCTCCCTCAGCTACCCTCAGCTCATCAGCCAAGTCCTTCCCAACTTGCCCGAAATGTGCTGCCTGTAATCCATTATAAACAGTACCCTTGAAAGTCCCTCTCCTTCTTCTCCTGCGCTTTGGCTCGTACCGACACTCCAAAATAAGCTCTCTGTACATCCACATCTCTGGATTAGAAATAGACAGTCGTCCCAGACGAGTCTGAAAAGCTGAATCGTTTTTGTAGGGATTTTCCCTCTGCAAGGAAAGAAAGTAGACATAATCCTTGGCAGAGAAACTGTAGATGTAGTTAATGCTGTAAGAGTCACGTAGTCCAGGAAGCACTGTCACGTTTGTGACCATGTCAAAGCCATCTTCAGTTGAAAGTGGCCTCAGCACTGATAATGACCTCCTTGGGTACGTCTGTGTTATTCTGTCATTGACAGAGGCTGCAACAAAGAAGTATGATGTCTGCCCATCTTCAGCGATCATGGCCTTGGTACCAAATGGGCTGGCCACACAGTCACGACAGTAGGTTGGAGAGTTCCTTTTTTTTGTGTATAAACATTGAGGTGCAGGAGCTTCAAGGGTAATGTCAGTAAAGTAACAGATCCCATACCGAGTACTTCCACAAATGTACAGGTATGGAACTAGATTTAGAGCAGGATCCAAAAGCAGAATCTCGTTGTCTGTATCCACTGGGTCCTCGGGTTGAACTTCTACATCGCATGCCAGACAGGTTTCACAATCAGGACTGCCTATAGGTCCAGTTTTCACCTCCCATATTTTATTCATAGAACTGTTGACTCCCACTACCGCATTCTGATATCCAATGTAAACTTGTTCATTATCCGGGTTCACTGCAATGTTCTGTATTGGTTTCTGGGTTTGGAAGTGGGGGAGGGAATATGTTACAGTGAAATCTATGGAACTCTGAGGTGTAGAAGGACATGTGTGCTGCCCCAAGGCAGTTTGTGATAGCATCCATATCCATACTGTCAACAAGGCAGTCAAACTGACCATTTCCACTTTATGGTCTGCTGTGAATAAATGCTACCTATAAGACAGTTTTCTCAAAGAAAACATTCTGGAGAACCAGCGGGAGCTCTGCAAGAAAAAGCAGCGAAGGAATGTTGAGATTTACCAGACAGGGAGCTGTACCACTGGATTCTCACATTCAGCCGAGATTCTCCACTTCATACTGTAAACATTTTAGCTTACTTAATCTGAGACACAGCTGGAGAACTGAGGAAGGAGGAAAGTATCAGCTGCTTTTTTTCTTTTTCTTTTTGAGGCTCTTGATTAAGCATTTCCTTATCTTCAGCTGCAAATGCCTCATTTTAAAAGGTAGTATTACCTAATATACGCAGTCACGGCATGTAAAACCCAACAAGAATTTGCGAGGATAACGATACAATCTAAAGCGGACAAGAAACAACGCGTTGTAACATGTGGAGAAACCATGGGAGCGTTCAGCCCACCAAAACTACACAAAATACATACAGAGTAACAACTACATTACATGTGTCAAATACACAAAAGTAATAGTTATTATCAGTGCAAAACGGTCATGGAGGCTTATAAAGGACTACGTTACTGTAAATTTCATATTACTATATGACATAACTTCTAATGAAAACCATGATACTACTACAGTTAGAATCATTTGTATTAACTCGAACTGTTTGGATAGGAATCATTAACATGGACCAATAGCTGAAAGTTCTCCGGAACCAATAAAATTTAAGAAATCTTTAACAACTTCTTTAACAAATTTGAATCCCTCAGAGATACGTATGCTAGTGAAGTTCCACTCACCTGACAGCGACTGAATACCTCTATCAATGAGTTTACACTGGCACTGAATTCCCCCATTCCTTTAAGATCTCACGTCAAAAAAAAAAACCAAAAAAAAAACAACAACAGGAAGTTACTAACCCTTCACAATAAAAGCATTACAGGCCAGCGGTCTTGTGTCTAAAGGGTGATTAAAAAAAAACAAATCAGGTCATCAGACCTACAGAGAGATTTGCATTTTTACAGTTGTATGGCACTGTATCGACGGGAGATCTGGATAAATTATAAGTCAAATTTCATTGAAAAAATAAATACTGTGGAAATTAATATCCTTAAATCCTGCCATTATCGTGCCAAGGTACATCTAAATGTCTGGAACAATATTCATTTGGTTATTATTACAAAACAAACGATAATTCGTGGCGTTTTTGTGCTGTAAAAATGAGAATGACACTGCCCGTTCAAACAAGTTTTCTAATATGATTCAATGTTTAATTTTTTAAACTGTTAAAGACCGGAAATGCCATCATCATTCTGACTCGCTTGACTGTGGACTGTGATATTCACTAAGCGGGTTCTGCCCTACCAAGCCGCGCCTGCAACGAGGAAGTATGAAGTAGTTGGTAAATTTGACCATCCGCATAATTTCCTCTCCAAGAGAGCTTTGTCATATTTCATCCTGAAACATATTTCCAGTCAGACTTAAATTTTTGTGGAAAAAATCTTGGCTTATGAAAGCAGTCTGTAGCTTATATCAGCGCCTGAGGGACATTTGCCAAAAATACATTGCTTTTGGATGAGGAACAGTTTCTCCTCAGCAGCCAGAAAGTTATGGGAAGAATGTATTCCATTCTCCTGACAGATCACCTAAAAATGTATTAGTGATATAAAACACACATGGAAAAACCTCAACTTTGCTCTGTTGGATGATGGTACATGGAGGCTGTAAAAGTTGAGGCCAAAATGACCATCACTGTCATCAGTGTGCCAACAGAAATGCTATAATGTGGATTTATACTCCGAAGTTAAACATCTACTACTGAATCCAAAGTTCAAAGTAAACATATGCTGCAGTGTCACTCAGCAGGCTTTCACTTCCAGACCTAAAACCATAAAAATCCACAAGCAACCATTACTCCTAATGTCATAGAAAAAGTCTGAGGTAGTGCAGGAGCAAAAAAAAGAAAAGAAGGTTTTTCCTTTCTTTCTTTCTTTTTTTTTTTTTTTTTAACTCCACAAGGACTTGCTGGACTGAGTCAGAGTGAGAAACTGATCAAACAATCTGCCAAAAACAATAGCTGTAAGGCCATCATGTTTGCTCCTCAGCTTACATCTGTGTATCTGACAACCTGACTCATAAGACATGGGCCAAGCAAACAGACTTAGAGCTCACTGCAGTTTAGATTTTGATTTGGCCCGATATTAAATCCCCAGAAGACTGTTTAAAGTAAGGGTATTCAAACTTATTATTATTATTATTATTATTATTATTATTATTATTATTATTATTATTATTATTATTATTATTATTATTATTATTATTATTATTATACCATTTTGGAAGTGGAAGTGAAACTGTACCATCTGAAATGTTGTGTTGTCTATGAATTTCATCTATAACTTCAAAAATTTGGACATCCTAACAACTTTTTAAAAAAAATTATTATTTGCTAATCTTGTGTGTTCCCCAGTCACACCATAGTTACCCTGGTAGCCTGTTTATTTCTCTGTCTGATGATAATAATGAGTCACTTTTGGTCCATCCTACACATACAGTACTACATTCAGTAGTTGGTTTTTTTTCTTTGACTGCTAGACTGAGATTATAGATTATTTTATTGATGCATGAGGGGATTCTGTGAGTTTCATTAAGGACTTGAACGTTTATGTATTAAATCCTGCTTTTAGACAAACATTTGATATTCAGATTTAAGGTGAGCACAGAGAAACTAGAGCTAAAGAGAAATTCAGCCAGAGAATCATAAATAATTCACCTGCACTTTCCTACTCGCAGGAGAAAACATGAAAAAGTGAGAAACGTTTATTGTTACCCAACACTAAGCTGTTACAGAGGAGACAAAGGTTACAAAGTTTCGAGTCGCCCTCTAGTGGTTACAGAAAGCGTTTGTTAGTGGGACCTTGCAGAGACTGAATCGAAACTGAAATACTTTCCTGAAAACGGCTACGTTTGTTTTTTTCTTTTTGTCACAACCGGTTTACATTAAGTTCCGGGTTTTGACTGGACAGTTCTTTCTCTAAGCTCTCTCAGATTTGCCTTCAACTGCTTTTACAAAATGTCAGAAATCTCTGAAATCGATGAAGGATTCTACTCCCGACAACTGTAAGTACCAGCGATGTTGTGCCAAAAAGTGCACACCTGCCAAAAAGTGACCGGCGGTATCGTCTAAAAAAATGAATGATTGCTGGTATTTAAATTGTTTTAAATGACTTATGACACTGTGTGTTCTTTAATCTGCACAGTTATGTTCTGGGCCACGAGGCGATGCACCGAATGGGCTCAGCCAAGGTCCTCATAGCAGGAATGAAAGGTCTGGGAGTAGAAATAGCCAAGAATGTGGTCCTGTCCGGAGTTAAACATGTCACTGTCCAGGACGAAGGAATGACAACATGGAGCGACCTGTCATCTCAGGTATCCAAGAGGGATGCGTTTGAGCTGATTGCATAAACACATAAATATACAACAAACTTTAGGAAGCCTGTGTGATGAAGGGTTACTAAACCGAGCTGATTGTGATCCTGGTAATGGGAGTTTTGTTTTTTCAAACCTGTTTTTCTTTTCAAATGTTATCAGACTTTAGGATGAAACTGTGGCACTGATATTATTCCATGATTAAATAAATCCTCAATATTTCAATGTTAAGTGATCAAATGATTGTGCACATTTAGTTTTGCTTTTCCTTTCACGACTGAGGACACCCGCCTTCTTTATCATGCGCTGGGAAACACCTGATACATTTTGAGATTTCTCTTTCACTCTTGAGCCTTGACACAGGCAAAACAACAAATTCAAACAAATTCATTTATTTTCTTTCATTGATACAATTCAGAGTCATGGGGGGATGAGTGGAAGAGAATGGATGGATAGATGGATGGATGGATGGTCAAACGTAATACAGCAGGTGGACCTTGGGTTGAGATTGTTTTGTCTTCAATTTTAATTGTTCCCAACAGTTTTTCCTGAAGGAGTCTCATCTTGGTCAGAACCGGGCTGCATGCTCGGTACAACAGTTGGCAGTTTTAAACCCGCATGTGGTTGTGGAACAATATACTGGACCACTAGATGAAAACCTTCTTCTGCAATATCAGGTATTTTAATCTTTTTCCCAACAATACTGTGCTGATGTCCACTAAGGTTAAAATAATATTTTTTTTAAATTTCTGGAACCAAGAAACTTTCTGCCCTTCATTAAATTAATATTCAATTCATCAAGGCCAAATCACAGTGCACATCAAGCAAAAAACACCTTTCTGAGTAGGGGTGCTATGTTTTTACAGGTAGTGGTCCTCACTGACTCCTCATTGGAGGATCAGAAGCGTTTTGGGGAGCTGTGTCATTCACATGGAATTAAGTTCATTGTAGCAGACACCAAGGGGCTCTGTGGGTAAGATAAACTCTGGAACATGTACTAAATCAACATTATGGAACAATCAAGAGAAAACTCTCAATTGCAGTCAGCTGTTCTGTGACTTTGGGGAGAAATTTGAGGTCTTGGACCGGGATGGAGAGATGCCTGCATCAGTGATGATACAATCTATTTCTAAGGTAAAACTTTCCATTTTATTTTGTGCTAAAGCTAAATTGCAGATCCAGCCATACATTTTGAAATCCTGGTACTTCATTTATTTCTGTGTAATGTATATAACAGATCGTATGAGAGGAACCCTAAGTGAATCCAAGATATGCTTTCAAACTCTGACCATTTTAATGACTAACAAAGTGTTGCAAATAGGTTTACTTAACAGGCTTAAGAATTGACAGTTAGCATGTCTTTATTTTAGGATAATCCTGGAGTGGTGATCTGCACAGATGACCAGAAGCACGGACTCTCAGATGGTGATAACGTTATTTTTTCTGAAGTGCAAGGCATGACAGAACTAAACAATATGGCCCCCGTGGGAATTAAAGTCCGGGGTCAGTGTTGGCAATTTCTTTCCTCAAGTTTTCTTTTCATGACATTTTTAACCTCTATGACGATCACTACTCTAAAAATCTGATGCAATTAGAGATTTTTTCTTTTTCTTCTTTATCATCTGCAGTCATTATATTTTTATATTTTCAGCATTGGGTTTGTATTATTTTTCATTAAATTTACTTTTAACTTTTTTAATTTCAATTTACCATAAAAACCTTCGTCATTTGTCATCTCAATCATTAGGCCCGTATTCCTTCAGCATTGGTGACACTTCAGCCTTTTCTGAGTATGAACGGGGTGGAGTGGTGAATGAGGCTAAACAGCCAGTCCTGCTACATTTTGTAGGTGCAAGCGTTTTGTTTCTACTTTAGCTTTTAAACAATAAATCCATTGTTAATGAAACAATCTCATTTTAATTGCAGAAACCACTGAGTGAGGCTTTACAGGACCATGATCTGCTGGTAATGAACGACTATGGAAAAATATCTCGGCATCAGACCCTGCACTTGGCTTTCCAAGCACTCCATAGCTTTGTGAAGAAAGAAAAGCGACTCCCTGGTCTCTGGTCCCAGGTCTGTAAATCCAGCTACGGTGTTGTAGTTTAACCATTAAAGCAATTTACAGGACTGTTTCCACTCACTTGTTGGTGCTTCTACAGTCCGATGCGGATTACCTGCTAACCATAGTGAGAGAGCTAAATGAAGTCGCACAACTGGAAGAGCTAGATGAGGTCACAGTACAAAGCCTGTCATACACAGCCCAGGGCGATTTGGCTCCCATCAATGCTTTCATAGGAGGCTTGGCTGCTCAGGAAGTCATTAAGGTGAGGTCTGAAGAAAATGCCTGAAAATGTTCATCTTTTGGGAGGGGGGAGGGGGGGTTCACTCATCATAAACTGTCACTGTTTACACTGTATAATAAATAACATTTGTATTTAGCTGAGTTGACCAAGTATTGTGTGTCTTTTGTGATATTCCTGCAGGCATGCAGTAGGAAATTCACACCTCTTCAGCAGTGGCTATATTTTGATGCACTGGAGTGCCTGCCTGAGGATCAGCCGACAGAATGCTCATTTGCGATGGTATACCTTTAAAATATAGATTCCCGGGCTATCAAACAAGCTCTCCATTTGACTGATATGAACAGCATTAAGGCGCATTTAATCTGTCTCTTTTCCTTTTCATAGAACGGCACAAGGTATGATGGACAGATTGCTGTGTTTGGCTCCGCGTTCCAGGAGAAGCTTCAACGGCAGAAGTATTTCCTGGTGAGGACTGATTTGACATTTGTCCAACAGAGGGCACACTCTGCACTGTAATGCAGAAACTCCATGTGTGTTTTTCTTTGATCTTGTCTGGTGTAAATGATGGCACATTCAGGAAAAAGCTGTGATTCAGGTGGCATTTCCTGGCATCTTTGTAAAGGGGCTCTTTAACAGTACTTGGCACTTTCCCTGTTTCCTTTAAAAGTGTGATTTTGTGCTGGGTTAACATTTTTAAGGGAGACAGTGTATGCATTTCTTTTATCTTTGTCGCAAAGTCTGCAAGACATCAGGAAGTACAGGAGCTACTGAATGCCTAATCTCTATGTAGTGATGAGCAACAACAGATGAATGACTTTCTGCAACATTGTAAAACACATCTGACAATTTCATTTTTTTCCTGTTACTTTCAAGGTTGGAGCTGGTGCTATCGGCTGTGAGCTTCTTAAAAACTTTGCCCTTATGGGGCTTGGTGCAGGAGATGATGGACACATCACCATAACAGACATGGACTCAATAGAAAGATCCAACTTGAACCGCCAATTCCTGTTCAGGACTCATGATGTCGGGGTGAGAAGCCACACAGTATATTGTATCACAATTCTGTAGTGAAAAATGTAAAAAAGTATCATAGCACATCTCTGCAAGTTAACAGGGCTTTACTTACAGGAGAGGCTTGTGATGAAGGTATTATTACAGCCTGAGATGGCTTGTTTTAGTTAGTTTCCTAAGCGGCTCTATCAAAACAAAGCTAGATATTCATCTTGAATTGATTAGCTCTTTATTATCATTTTGTTTTTAATACATTTTCTTGTTCACATACGTTATGTCACAGACTAACTTTTCCATTTTTGTGCGTTTGTCAATTGGCAGAAACCTAAATCAAAAGTTGCAGCCAGAGCTGCGTGTGACATAAACCCACAGATGAGAATCACAGCGCACCAGAATCGCCTTGATGCTGACAGTGAAGGAGTGTACAACTACTGCTTCTTCATGGGCCTCAATGGAGTGGCTGCAGCCCTTGACAACGTGGAAGCCAGTGAGGACACTTAAGTCATCTTTATTGTTAATATCGCCATAGGTTCGGGACATACCCACATACCCATGGTGTGCAAAAGAAGACTAATTATGAATAAGAAAAGAGATGTAAAAATATGGGGCATGGATATTTAAAAAATGAGGTATTGGTGTAAAAATAACGAATTATACAAATGTTATTATAGCCTATATACAGTATTTCAGTCTACATATAAGATGTCAAGTATAAAAATTATTTTGCAGTCTATAGAAATGATATAAAAACATTCACAGTTTATATTTACAGTAAGTGTAAGGACTGTACATGTACATTTCTAAGCTTTAACCCACTGTTTCTGATGGTCAGGGGTCTATCTCGATGGACGCTGTGTGCAACACCAGAAGCCAATGCTGGAGGGGGGCACTCTAGGGACCAAAGGTCACACCCTGGTGGTGGTTCCTCACCTGACGGAGTCTTATGGACCGGCTAAATCAAGTTCTAGCAATGCTATCCCGCTGTGTACTCTCAAGAACTTCCCCCACCGCATTGAGCACACATTGCAGGTATAAAATCAAGTTGTTCAACTTTGTGTTCACTTTTGTTGTAACGGGAATTTATTGCATCTAATACCAGATGACCAGTGAATACAATAGTCACTACGGTATGTATTATTGGTATATAGTTTAGTAATTAGCACAAAGAACTGGGATTGTTCTGTGTGATATTAAAAAGTGTCACTAGTGCTAGATAAAATCAGGGTATCACCAAAATTAGTGCAATGCAGACTCCACCCAAGACCTGCTGAGGTAATGCTGTTAAAATTCATATTAGCTCTTAAACATAACAATGACCAAAACATTTGAAATGACTGCAGACTTTCTTTTGCACAGTGCTCTGCAAAAGAAAGTATTTTTTATTGTGTTATTAATTCTTTTTTCACTAATCTGGTCTTGTAATTGTTTCAGTGGGCGAGGGACCAGTTTGAAGGACTGTTCAAACAGACACCTGAAAATGTAAATTTCTTCTTGAGGTAAGATACGATGATACCATCCTCGTGTGATTTTCCTGCGTTGGCGCCAAAAGCGAGACGGTGTCTTCACCAGTCTGGTGTTACTTAGCGTGGTCATTTTACGATGCTTTTCCACTTTCTTACAAAGCATTCCAGCGCACCTACAAAACAGCTAATGAAGTGGTTCAAGCTCGTTATTTAGTTTTATTAACAGGAAAACATTTGGTTGGCTTTCAGCAGTAAAGCCCTTGTAAGAAATTACATAAATAGTCTGTCTTGCCAAGTCTCCTCTCTGTAATGTATAATCCACAGCAGTTTTCTACTAATAATAAATGCATTCTTTGATAATTAGAGGCTTTGTGGTTTAGGAACCATCCATCAAATTTTAAAAAAGAGATTAGATGACAGGAAAGAGTGCTATATGATGTGAAATGGATGAATCAGTGAATCTGCTGGATTTTAATTGTGAGATTTAAGTACATGGCTAATCTTTAAAAATTAATAACCACTGTATCAAGCTTTACATAATGCGTTGACCTAATTATAACACACAGAAGTGTCATCAAAGGCAGATTTAAGCTTCCAGGTCGAAACTATGTCTGAGTACTGAGGCTTGGAGCCATCCTAATCCAGCCATGTTTTGAGATTTGTCTCTGTTTGTTTTAGTGAGATTGACTTAATCTGCCACGACAGTAAAAGCATTTACTCTCTTTCTTGTTTCTATATGGAAGCAAAAACTGGGCCTAGAGCAAAAATGGTGCTTGTGAGTTGAAACAACCATTCAAATTTTTCATATTGCACAGTTTTTTAGAGATAAGGGCGCTTGTCTACTAAGATAACCAGTTTTTCCCGGCCCTCCTTCTAGCGCAATCCTGGAAAAGTTTTCTGGGCATTTTTATGAGACAGATCAGCTACATGTCATAGTCCAGCAAATATTAAGTCATGGTTCATGAGGTTATGGAAAGGAGGTTTTTTTTGTTGCTGCTGTTTTAATGCCACACCCATACAGTTCTGTGTACAGCTATGAGTATGCATGTTCCTGTTCAGGCATGCTTTTTGTTTCCTGAGCGAGCGCATATTAATGGCGCAAGAACTACCCATGTGTGGGTTTAGAGTTGTACTGACCAGCACCTGATAAAGTTACTCAACACTGTCTTCTCCTGCCTATGAGTCGAAACACTCAGAGAAATCCCCCCTTTGAGTCACTTTCGAGACAACACTCAAAAGATTTTTAGTCATTCTCTTCTGTGACACAGGTATAAACAGTTTTGGGGGGTTTCCAGTAAGGCTTTAGTCAGGTTGACGTTGCAGGTCATGTATGCCACGTGTGTTGTTTTTAAAGTTTACTTTCAGCCAAGTCATGTTGCAAATAAAAATCGAATCTTTTATTGTGAAGGTTCAACCCACAGAATGCATCGAACATATTATTATTACCTTTCGATAGCCTGCGCTTTGTCTTTCTGCTCAGCCAATGATTATTATTATTATTATTTGCTCTGTCACTGAATACAACTATTGCTGCTCTATTTTCCACAGGGATACGGCATTTATTAAGCGAACTCTAGATCTTGGTGACACTGAGGCCTTGGAGATTCTCGGAGGAGTGTGGAGCAGCCTGCATGACACGGAAGCTGGAGGACAGCGTCCAAAGTCCTGGGAAGACTGTGTGCGCTGGGCACGTTGCAAGTGGGAGACCCTGTTTAACAACGAAATCCGTCAGCTTCTGCACTGTTTCCCTCCCGATGAGGTAAAAAAGCAACTATCCTGGTGCCAAAAATGTAACATGTGTAATTTGTCTCCATGAACACACAGGGGCACTGTTGTGCAGGTAAGATATTTGCATTCCAAACAGTGAAACACTAAAGTGAGATATTTGAACAATAGGAATTGCATTTTTCACATTTCACTTCATGGAGTACTGCAGCATATTTCCCCAAGAGTAGATGGCAACATTAGCCCTGCTGAAAACCTGAAAAGCACTACTGATAAACAGGGTCTCTTGAGGGTCTCTGAGGGGTTTTTAGTCTGTTGAAACGTGCAGACAGAGCGGTGTCACATGTTGCTGTCATACCTTTGGTGTAGGAGGGTGCACAGATCAGTATCAACCTAAACAAACCCTCACTAACCCAAGACTTAGAACACTAACAAGCTGTTTTCTAACAGAGCTCCAGCAGTGTTTTGCAATGTTTTAATATTTATTAATGCAGCTTTTGGTATGGCATTTTTTTATTATTAAATATAAATATTCTCTCATCTAATCATCACAGCACATGATACAGAAACTCTGCGTCATTTGTGGTTTTGGCTTTGGTTCTCTCTCTTTTTTCCCCTCCATACTTCTCTTTGTCCTAGTTACGTAAAAAGAGTTATAGTTTTATTGTTCTCGTTGAAAGTCAATTTTTACCACAGACCTTCTGGGGGAACTATGATAAGGAAGCTAATGTCAGTTAAAAGTCAAAAGCTAAACTGACCAAAGCTGGTACACGGGCAACACTGATGACTGCACGGCTACTGTGCTCTATGTTGCCACAGCATCTCAAGTTGGAAAAGCAGAAAATACAAGAAGTGACGGGTGAGAGAAGTGGATTGACTGACTGCTTTATTTTAAACAAAGCAGTCAGTCAATCCACTGACTGTAGCTGAGGTGGCAGAGCAGGTCAGCCACTAATCAGAAGGTCGGTGGTTCAATCCCAGGCTGCCTCCTGGCTGCATGCCAAATATCCTTGGGCAAAATACTAACCCCGTGTTTGCCTACTGGTGGTGGTCAGAGGGCCCGGTGGCGCCAGTGTCCGGCAGCCTCGCCTCTGTCAGTGCGCCCCAGGGCAGCTGTGGCTACAATGTAGCTTGCCAGTGTGTGAATGTGTGTGTGTGTGCTTTAAGCTTTGATACAATTTTTTATTTATATTTTATTTTTCCTCTAAGAGATGGGGTGAATTTATGTGAGAAGGAAAAACCAGTTTTATTTTAGTTGAAATAAGTGTGCATGACCAGAGTTGAAGGCGATCGTGGCTCTAGAGTTGGCAGTTCGTCTTGTAATCGGAAGGTTGCCGGTCCGAGCCCCGGCTCGGACAGCCTTGGTCGTTGTGTCCTTGGGCCTCCTGATGGTGGTTAGAGGGCCCGGTGGTGCCAGTATCTGGCAGCCTCGCCTCTGTCAGTGCGCCCCAGGGCAGCTATGTACAATGTAGTTTGCCATCACCAGTGTGTGAATGGGTGGATGACTGAATGTAGTGTAAAGCGCTTTGGGGTCCTTAGGGACTAGAAAAGCGCTATATAAATGCAGGCCATTTACCATTTACTATCTAAATAACAACAAAATAGCGAAAAATAAACTGAGTTTCTACCATATCTCTCTATACCACACAATTTATATGTTTAAAAGGGTTTCTACACTCATCTGATCTAACCCTGCTTAATACTATTTAATAATTTACAACTCACTCTTCATCGGTACATAACCTGACAGTATACATGTATGACTATTGAATGAGTGTAGATGAAATGACAAGAGATTTAAAGGTATCCTGTCATAGAATTTGCTGTATTAGTGAGATAAATGATATTCAGCTCTTAAACTGCTTAATTAACAGCAATTAATTGAATTGTTGATAAATTTGGCCATGTAGTTATTTGGTTCAACTCTCTTTTTCTTAACAACCAGAACAAAGTTGATTTCAAGTAGAAATTTCCATTATTAAAGTCACCTTTATTCTTAAGTCTCTACAAGAAAAAAGAACAATTGGTCAAAGAACCTTAGGAGGCCCCAAAAAGTCTTAAATGAAAGTGTCATCCTTCTTTTTAAGGACAAATCACTGTTTTGGCCCCCTCTGACCCTGAAGAGAAGGCCAACAACATGCCTGTTTCTGAAAAGGACAATGTTGTTGGTGCCTTTTGGCTGCTATACAATGCCCCCCCTGCAGTGAAAACTGGCACCACCAGTAGGAGACTCTCTCTTTCTCGGCATATGGACCATTTGGAAACATCAAAGCTCTCAAGTCCCTTTGTTCCTTTATCAGACATACAAATTGTGTAGTAAACACACAGCTGATAACAATATTAGTGTGACTGCACCAAAGGAAGGTAGTTGACTTGCTTTGTTAGAATAGTAAAGTAGTTGTCAGGCTTTATCCAGTAAATCACTAATGCACTGGAGTCGTCGTGCATTAAATATCATATAAGCTGAAAATGTAAAACCTAATCTGTTTTCTTGTGCGTTTTTGTTTGGAATATAGCGTCACCTTCATTATATGTAAGGCAAAGATCTCACCATGACAGTCATAGGTTTACTCACCAAGTTACACTTATATTTATATAAATGTTTTTAAAGAATAAAAGTGAAATGATTTTACATCTGTTACTCGCTGCAATAAAGGGATTTTCTTCTGCCTCTGTTTAGAAGACCACTCATGGCTTGCCGTTCTGGTCTGGATCCAAGAGATGCCCTCACCCCCTGACGTTTGATCCTAGCATTGTGAGTAGTGTCTGGTCCAGTTCTTCATCCAGTAGCAATCATATACATAGTAGATGGTAATGAGAAAACATACCACAGTATACTGATAACCACTCACATTCCTTCTTTATCTTGTCTGATAATGGCTCTTCCTCACTCTGACCATATAATTGAGTCTTATCTCAGGTACACACGGGCAATAAAAGAGAGATAATAATCTGCTTTCTAGACACATTCAATTCATGTTATTCTCCTTATCAGTGAATTGAAAGCAGCATTGCAGAGAAGTGAAATAATGGAACTGTACTGTGCTTGTTTGCTAAGTAGAAGTTACTGCCACTCTATGCACAATATAGATGCGCATTTTTGGGAACACTGGAGAAATTATTGCAGCTATATATTCCATTAAGGGAAGTAATTGGTATTACTTTAACATTGTTCTGACTCTATTCTCCTTTTATAATACGTTGCTTTCCACAGTTTCACCATGATGGCAGTGCTTCTGTAATAGACCGTGTTTAACTAGAATGTTAAATGTATTTTCCAAAACATTATATTTTCTTCTTCATCAAGACTATGTGATTGTTGTGTTGTAGACTACTCATATTGAGTACGTGATGGCTGGAGCTAATCTGTATGGGCAAATCTATGGGATCAAAGGGACAAGGGACTTGACCTCCATCAGAGGAATCTTAGAAAATGTCCGTGTGCCAGCTTTCACTCCCAAGTCCTCCGTGAAGATTCATGTTACTGACAAGGAGATGGAGGAGGAGAAAACACGTGAATGCGATGATGCGGGTCAGTTAGTTCAATTTTTTTTATTGTTACCAACTCGCTTTCTTCCAGCACGTCTTATCTTTACATATTTTTCTCTTTCTCTGCCACAGAAAAGGTCAGACTTGAGGAGTTGAAAGGAAAGTTGGCCTCGCCCTCTCTGAAGAGCTCAGCTCAGATGTACCCTATCGACTTTGAGAAGGTAGGGCAATAGGACAATGACACCTCTGCCTCAGACTTCAGAGAAGCTGCAGATAGTGACATCTTGATCTGAGCTGATTCAACAGTGGTTTTAGCAGGGTAGAGTTATATATTTTTAAACTGTCCCTCCTGCTTTCAAAAATTGTAGCAATATAATTATTATTGAGTCAGACAACTCAGATATAAAATGTGTACTTTTATGTGAGAACTGGTTTGCGGACTGTCAAACAGCATACACAGACTCCTGAAGGCAGACTTCCCTTAATAAAACATTGTCACTCTAGACATTAAGTTACGTTTTGCACTTGGCTGGCATTGTAAATATTCATAAAAGTTCATCTAATCTAGAAAGTTATTTAGGAGTGTAGACTAGATATAATCCCCAGTTCCCTAAGCAATCGTTTCCTTCCAATGTATTTCCTAAAAGTCAGTCACACCTTGGAGTAAAGCGATTTTCTTAATAGGACAGCACTTTCCCAGTGACAGTATCCCTAACACTCTATATTCTTCCTTGATATCCTCTGGGAAACATGGCCACAAAACACATTCAAATGAGGCAACCTCATGGTTTAAGATGCCAGCCATACACTTTGTTCCATTTGTTTTCTCCATTTCCTCTCGTCTTTCTGTACTTGTAAACTTTTGAATGCCAGGTAAAAATAATTTCAATAGTTTAGCTTTAACTACAAATGCATGATAAGTTAAAAAATTAAGCAAACATTGGTGTTGCTGCGCATTGGCCAACTTGAAAAACAAAGTAGAACATCTTGGGTCCAGTTTCAAGTTTTGACTCCAGTTAGTAGCTTAATTAATAAATGATAAAATAAATGGAAAAAAAAGAACAGGCTCTAAATCAACTATAAATCTATATCCTCCAAGACTTAGTGTAACTATTAACTCAAAATCGGTTTAAATAAAAATTAACAGTTGTAAGCATAAAAAATCTTTGCAGTAAATGAGCCATTTCCTTATAGCGCCATTATATTTGTTCAATTATTCCTCCCACTTTTTTCCTCAGCATCTGACATGTCCTGTTGGACAGGACTGGATCCTGTAATAAATGTAATAGCCAACATCTGGACACTGGGCATACAGAGCGTTCTCACTCCCGAGGCGTAACATGTCGACGTTTTGTCACGTCCCGCGGCGTTCCTAAGGAACGCGAAAGGAGACCTTCGGCGTTCTTATGGTACGCGGCGGGTTATTGCTGGAATCCAGTGCAATGACGCTCCCGCGGTAGTAGACGTTCCAGCCCTGTATTCCAGCCCTAAACCTAACCTTATCCCTAGCCCTGACCATAACCTTATTCCTGACCTTAACCAGGACTTTAATGATGTTAAATAGCGTGTTTCTAAGCGATTTGAAGAAAAAGAGCGAACATGTGTAGGTTCAGTCCAGACGGTTCTCATATTTCCTCTTTTTCCGAGGTCGTCATTTAGGAACGTGGTGGGTAGCCGAAAACGTAATATGGTGACGATTTGTCACCTAGCGTAAAATGTTACGCTTTGGGAGTGAGAACGGGTGGGCATAACAAAGTCTTTTCTAAACGAGTTTACAATAAACTCTGCCCACAAAGTAGCTGTACCATATTACCCCATGAATAAGATACTGTTGCTCAACAAAAGGTAAAAGCAGGTCAAGATGCCGCTGCTGAGTGATAGAGATTGTTATTAAAAGAATTTAGAGAAGGTAAATGACTTTAAATGAGATTCTGATAACACATGCAATCAACCAAGAGAGGCTCTAATGAAGGTGCATGAGGTAAGTCAGCTAAATATCAAATGTTGTCTTGAATAAGAACAAGACTCCCAAACCCACTTCTCTTCATCTTTATCCCTCTGTGCCCTGGTCAGGCTGTGGATAGATGGAATGTGTGTAGGAGGGTTTCAAAGGCATCAGGTTGCCAGCTTGGAGCTTCCTCACAACCCCTAAAGCAAACCTGGAGTGACAGTCACCTCCTAGCTTTTGTAGAGCCGCACTAGCAGAGGCATGACCTCACTGGCCACGTCGATCACAACAGGAATCTGATTTCCACTGCTTTCTGACAGGGTACTAAGTCATATATCAGAGTGACTGAAGCGACATAACAACAAAGCAGGCAAAGCTCAAAGAGGGCACAGAGAATGACATCACTGAGTATGTCACTGGACGTGGACGTGGCTTTGAACTGTCCCACTAGCAATTTATAATGTTATTAATACTGTTAAGCTGCCCTTCTGTTTTTTGTCATTATATGTAATTGCTGTTCATGGGTATTAAGCTTCATAGTGTTATATCTTAATTAAAAAATATTTAATGTTCCTACTCATACAGGATGATGACAGCAATTTCCACATGGACTACATTGTTGCTGCATCTAACCTGAGAGCAGAAAACTATGACATCCCTGCAGCTGATCGTCACAAGGTCAGTAATTGTATGTATACATAGTAAAAATAAAAGAAAAATATGGACAAAGATCTAAGAGATGAAGCTGAGCCGAGGGGCGAATGAGACAAAACAGACCTGCCGACTGCTCCCCCTCCCTGTAGGTCATGTTTTTCCTAGGTGCTGCACACACCTGCCCTAAAGCCACAAAAACAGACCCCTCACCTATTGTTCACAGAGCAGAACTAATCACGGCACTTTACCTGTCGCCTGGGAGGTGACACCTGAGCCAGGCCTTGTACCAGCTGCCACAGTGACATACACAGCCAAGACATGAACATGGATGGGGGGGGAGTTACCCCTAGGAGATGGGGGACAAAACAGAGTTTGCCTTGTGTAATCAGACATTTCCACATTTTGCGTCTTCTTTGGAAATAACTTCTCCTTTAGTCACAATTTAACCAGTACATAATAAACATACAGTATATCAGTAATGCAAGACCACATGAGGGCTAGACTCTAATATATTTGTAACTGTCAAAGGTAAAAATACTCATCATGCAACATCATCAGTATATTGTATATATGTATGTATATACAGCTAGGTCCATGTTTTGTTGGACCAAGACACAATTTTTGTTGCTTTGTCCACTCAGTTCTGGAAAAATGTGACTAAATCTGAGCAGAGAGTAAAGACCAGTACATTTCAGAAATCATCCTACTGCTTCTGTCAGCAGTCACATCATTAATCATCAATAGTGGCCCGGATCCACTGGCATCCATCCCTACCCATGAAATAACCTAGCCTCCATCATGTGTGACAGATTAGGTGGCATGCTCTGAATCATGAGCTGTTTCTCTCCTTCTCTATACTTTTGCCCTCCCATCACTCTGGAACAAGTTCATCTTTATGTCCATGTTTTTTTTTTTTCAGAACTGTGCAGGTTCTTTTAGATATTTTCTGGAAAAGTTTAATCTGGTTTCTTGTACAACCTTGTACATTATAACGTTTTCCTTTAAAATTTGTGATTGGTATATTTTTCTTTCTATTCAATTCAATTTTATTTATACAACGCCAAATCACAACAACAGTAGCCTCAAGGCGCTTTATATTGTAAGGTAAAGACCCAACAATAATGCAATAAAGTGCCTCATATTAAAGTTGAAGTGAAAAGCTATAAAATACAAATTCAGCACTTTGAATCAACTTCAGATGTTATATCTGATTTATATGTCCATACGTAACAAGGGGACAGGTCTTAATTGACTGATAAGCCATGAAATTACTTGTAAACATACCTGTAACTAAAATAAAAGACAACTTCTAGTACTTCAGAACTAACAGAGTAAACAAATTAAGTTTCTTTCTACCAGTGAAATGTTGTAAAACACGAGTTTATATTTGTTGGATCACGTTAGGATTGTACTGAAAGTGACTGAAGATAACTGAAATATTTTCTTGCCACTACATGACACTGCGATGTGAAACTGAACGTTCCACTGTCACCTTTGCAGAGTAAGCGCATTGCCGGAAGGATCATCCCTGCCATAGCCACCACGACAGCCGCGGTGGCAGGCCTCATGTGCCTGGAGCTGTATAAGCTGGTTCAGGGTCACCAAAAGATCAGCTCTTACCGCACGGCTTACATCAACCTGGCCGTCCAGTACTTTGTCATGTCCCAGCCGAGCCGGCCTCAGCAGTTTGAAGTGAGTAACAGCTCCATATGACCACAGCTTTATTTTAGTTATAGTGGTTTTAGGGAAGAGATCAATAAAGCTTTCAGTCACATATAGGACCTGAGTAAGGCACTTCATAAAGTCTGACAGACCCTTACTGTGTAACGTACTTTCATAATTTAAACCTGTCTATTTTGAGGATAAATCTGGTGGGTTCTTTGTAGATTCATGTCCTTCCTTTTTTAGTGGAAAGCATTAAGCCATGAATGAGTGCTCTCAGAGTAAAAACCCACTTTTGGCCCTCAGTATCTTGAATATACTGTAAGCCCATTCTTTAACTAGCTCAGTATAATCCTTAGCATATTTCAGTGCAGGCAAGACATAAAACAGATCCATGCATGTTTGGACAAATTAAGTGAATTCAAAGCAACCCTATTCCCTGAAGCCAGTGTCCTTCTGGGCTCAGTACCACATGCTAGACACATTTAAGGTCAGGTTTGAGAGAATATCATGCCAATTAATTTTACAGCACTCTTACATCTCACTGTAGGTCATCTCTGGAGGTAATCAAATACTAGACTGGAATGCTCCAGCTTTCCCACTCAGGGCACTAAACCTCTGACAGGGTCAGTAGTTGGGGTAACTGTGTCCTGTGGGGCTTGAGGGTACTCTGAGACATTGTGGGTCTGGTTTCAGCTTTGGTTACAGGGGAAAATTCAGCCTCTGCATAAAACGCTGTCATGATGACAGAAGCAGTTGTGACTTTTGGAGGTTTGGAGGTTCCAGACGTGCCTTCTTCCTCTCTCCGTTCTTACAGTTGTTGCCTGTAAATTTGTTGATGTTTGCATATACTTTTCTATTTTTTCATGCCTTCTGAAATTTTCTTAGATGTATTAACATTTCCAAAGCAGCACGGGACACTGGATAGAGTCAGTCATTAAAATAATCAGTCACAGTGACAGAGTAGCTGACATTATCCCAGCCAGAAGGTTTATTCAAGTATTCAAGTACTGAATTGGACAGATGGGCAGACATTAAATTTTTCAGACGCAGGCTCTTTCTTCATGGGTTGAGGCTCTGGGTTTTAAGCTTTTGTTTATTCAACAGAGGACCCAAAGGAGACAGGACACCCACAGCCAGAACAGCATTTTTAGAGTTAAAGATAAATCCTAAAGTAATACCGGAAGACATTCATATATCAGGAACACACATGCAATTATATGAGAAACAGAGAATGAGGGTTAGCTGCCAAACCTTCAGCCATATAATGTGGGACATAGTGCCAAAGAAAACATTTTGGTTTTTGTGATTACTTTAAATTCATAATTTATACCAAGCTTTGTAATTGATAGTCTCTCTTTATTTGTTTGTATTTACTCTTTCAATATGGCATCAATTCTAGTTTCTCATCCGTCTATTTATTGTAAAAATAGTTTGAATGTGCACATGTCATTATCATGAGTATATCAGCAACAACATATATTTTGACTAGTGGAAATAAATTAGATAATTTTATTTATGAGATTGTAATTGGCAAAGTTTTTATTAACCTTTTTAAGGGATCCTTATCACAACTGTTTATGTTATGGATTCATGAAAAGCCAATAATAATTTAACCTAAATATTGACAGAGATTTTGGCCTCAGATATCCAGTATGAGACTAACTTAATCACCCGGGGTCAAAGGTCCAGGGTGTCTATTCCTTTGTTGATATATAGATATTTTTTAACAAATTGATTCCCTGTAAACATCCCCTATGCATGAATGTGGTGTAGATATTATGTGACTAGTTAAAGAGATCACATAACATAAGATTTCTGAGTCCTGCAATCCTTGATTAACGCATTCATGTGCTGAAATAAATTAGTGTGGAAATATACATAAATGGTGTACATATAAATGATTTTAGATATTATAAATTAGACAACGACACAGAAGGCAAAGCCATTTCTTTTATATTCTCTTATCTCTCTAATCTAAGATTAGAGTTTTTGGGAGACAGCCTTTGAAGCAACTGCAGGCATGCAGCTGTTAAAAATCACTGATCAGACATGCAGTATTAAGGTCTCAGTTTACTTTTGCAATGGCTAAGACCTCTCCCCTTATGAGATCAGTCTCAGTTCATTAATATCAAGTAACAACAGTCACATCTTGCTGGTTGTGCAGGTGGGCCACCCAGTGTTGTTCCAAAGTGAGTAATGACATTACTCCATTGCTAGATTCTGGGCAGTCATCATAACTTTACCTGTAGTGCCACAGTTCTGATCGCCTAAGTGCTTATGGAAAATGTGTTTTTAATGTGGTCATACACAGCTGTCACTAAATAACCCTTTAACTTAGCTCTTAAACTAAAATAAATGACTCCCAGTGCCCCCATTGTCTTAATAATTTTCCAGGATTTCTTGCAGCTGTTTGGCGAAATATGAAAATGTCCTGGTATTTCCCTGCTGCTGTGCTCTGTATAGAGGTAGAGATATGTAAACAAGAGGTTTGTCCTTGTCTGCTCAACACTCTTTTGCGTAGAATTCCTCCCTATGTTATGTTTTTCAGTTGGGGAGACAAGGCCCAGACATCAAAGGCAGACCTAGAGTAACAAGTTCCTAAAACCTCTTTTACTAAAGGATCATAATATAATACAGCCATAGACTGCTGACTGTAATTAAAAGGTGCACATAGCCAACCATTAGTCCCATAAGTCCCACTGTGAAACCTCGAGCCAAGCATTTTGTGCATCGACAAAATGTATTGACATTTTTTTTAAACCAGACATGATGAGCAGCAGCAAGGTAGTTTTCACAAAGACTTCCATACAAGGAGACATTTTTGCAACCAAAGTAGTCTCTTTTTAGAGAAGCAGAAACATGTTTTTTATACTGTAAAAAATATGAGTTTTTCCATCTGTGTTCTGGTCCTAAAGCTGGCAGTGAACATGCCTGGTAAACACAAAATGTTTGCAGTTCCACAAAAATGGCAGAGTTGCTCACTAAAAAGGTCCCACTTTAGGTTCAGTCCTCCACCCAAGGACACTTGGCACACAGAGGAGCCAGGGATTGAAGGGCAAATACTCACACAACCCTTTCCACCAACTGAGCGACAGTTGTCCCATATAGTATAATCCATGCCAGCTCTCTCATTCAGTCAAATGTTGAATCAGCTCTGTGACTACCTCAGCTGCAAGTTTAAGGCCGCAGCAACAATGTCCTCTCTGTGCCCTTCACACAGAACAGTCAGCTGCAGCTGCAGACTATTTTCAAACATGCAGGGCCTGTTTTGTTTTTTAATTTTACAAACCAAAGCCACCTTTACGTTTCACCTTCAAGGTTACAGTGGGGAGAGTTTTAGGGGCCAAAAAAACCAACAGTGATTAACTGGCTGTACTCTACCAACTCAGTGCCTCGCAAGTGGAGCATTAAGAGATCAGTACTTCCCTTAATAGTTGGTGAGGCCAAAACAGATTTACTTGAACAAAACTTTAAAAAAAAATCATGTTGTCCAATGCATTGTTTGTAAACATATCAAACATAGTAAGTATATTTGAATAATCAGTAGTGATAATAATTCTGCTTCCTAGGGACAAAAAAAAAAATCTAATTAAAACTATGTACTCTTTGTTTCTAGTTGGACTCATTTTCTGAGATTTTCTGGTACTAAGTCATTAAAGGACATTTCAAGAGCAGCAAAGATTGATGAGTGCCGCTGTAACTGAGCTGCAGCCTCACTAAAATGCAGAGAAACATCACCTGAGGCAGGCAGAGGAGGACATGTTTCAGCTGTGTGTTAAATATCTCAATCTTCAACCCCTGTAGCACCTTGCCAACGCTCTATCAGAGTACGCTGTCTTTACTTGTCTGCTAGAATGCCTGGTAGTTGTGTTCCATGGAAATACTCCGTCTTACATGCCTGTGCACACATCCTCCACACTCTACTCCTAACTTTGTGCCCTTTCACGCTTCCTCGGTGCCCCACTTCCCCACTTTGCCCTTTCAGTCTCTAATTGAATTAGCAGAGTTGGAGGCAAGACTCTGGAGGCGCTCGTCGGTCAATGGTCACACCGCTTCTTTGTTAATTACCTGCAGAAATGATGGTTATTTCCTGCCTTCACAGGAAGCAGTGCATTGAAACCAGATTTCCCAAAGAACTCTATGTAATCTTGCTGTCGGCAGAGAATCAGGAGGAGGCAAGGATTTTATGTCCATCTGCTCCAGTCTCTGTTTCTAATAAACCTTTTAGTCACAACTTACTTCTTTGTTTGGATTTAAAAATCTGAAAAAAGGAAGACTGTTTAAATTTGCTGAGTAGACATTGTGTCTGTTTATTTTTTTTTATTTTTTTTTAATGTAGAAAAGAAAACCCACGGCCAACTGATTTGTGATTTGAGCGTAATTGAAGGTCACACATCTGTCACACAAATAACAGGGAATGGCTTAAAGACAGAACAAGAACAACAAAGGAGGAGATTTGCCTCACATGTGGTTAAATATGTGTTGGTCTCCTTGGACTGTGCCAGTAAAGAAATGGGGTGAATATGATCCAAGGCCTTCTGGATTCCCAGAGGAGTGCAGAGGCCATTGTGCAGTTTGTAACTCAAGACCCAGACATGAATAGTGCTTGTGGGATAATGAGTAATCTGTGATCAACATATGCGGCTTGTGCCTTCTGTTGTTTTCCACGGTTTATTTGGAGGCAGTATTGTTTTGGTAGAATGCTGTTAAGTCAGATGTTTTCTCTACTGCATTGTACTGTTATTGTTGTGCGTTAGTTCCCCATCTATCTTCTCTTTCCCTTTTTGTGTCATCAACAACGATATTGTGTCTTTGCACTGGTTGTTTATTTATGTAGCAACAGACGCAGATCAGATCAGACTGGATATAGCAGATCCAGAACATTGTTAAACACAGACCGTAGGAGGCAATAAAAGTCGCTACCCAGATCTTTTATTTAGCACAGTGTGCGATACATCTCAAAACTCACAAAACTCCATTTATTCAAACTGATAAGCCACCAGTGCTCGATCTAGCTAAATTATCCT